TTTCCCCCCCCCCCCCCCAAAAAAAAGCACGCAGCTGAGAAGAAGAGCGCGCGTTTTGGTCGCAAGAGCTTCCCGGCCCGAGCGCCGGCCTACAAGTAGCCTCTCAGAAGGCACCTCTCTCCCGGACCCCCCCCTCCTTTTATACTGTGACTGGCCAGGCCACGGGAGGCCAGACGACTGGCCGGAGGCCACCGTGATGGGCGCTGCCGTCACCACCTGACCAGACACGCGCGCGGTCACGGGGCGGCAGAAAATGCTTGGATGGCGGAAAATTGTGCCTGTGCAGTGGGCCGGGTAGGAATCCGGGAGACGCTGGGCTCCCGGAATGGCAGAGAAGTGACGGAGGAGCCTCGAAAAAAAGACATGCATTTTTCATGGAAGACAGAGAGACCCTTTCTCTTCCTTGGCCCGGGACCACTCCAGCTGCGTGCGATCCGGGCAAGGGCCCTGCCCGGCAGGGGCACTGCCGTGGCCGAAGTGGCGGTCGCTGCTGTGGTGGCGGTGCTTGGAGTCGCAGTGGCAACGGGGCCAAAGGGTGGCAGGCCTCGAAACGCACGACCAGAGAGAGCAGGGCAAAGAACCGGCGCTCGAAGCTGAGGCGAAAGCCATTCAGGGAAATCCCGCGCTGGGACATGGCGACTGCAGGGAATGGCCTCGACGCGGGGGTTTGGGGAGGGGGGATTTTGGGGTGAGGCATCGCAGAGGCTCCCACGCCAGGACTTCTGCGGCCATCGGCCTGAGAGTCCAAAAGCGGAGCAGGGAGGTCCCCCGTTTCTCCGGGCTCCCGGGCGACCGCGGCGTGCCGCTGCTCCTTTGCGGCGGCGCCTCCCAGAACCCGAGTCGAAAACGGATGAAACGCTTTTCAGGTGGCGGTTTGTGCTGAAGGCTGGCTCAGCACAAAGCCCCCGCTCTCTCTTCTTTGCTCCACTACACACAGCCACATATCTATTTTAAGGACCCCAAAATAAGCTACCCCCTTCTTTTCGGATACTCCCGCACATCGAAGAGGGGGATCTCTCTCCCTCTGGCGCCCCCACGCGCCTGAAGGGATCCAGCCATGGCCTGCGCCGCCATGCGCATCGCAGCCGGAGAGGGCCTCGCCCACATAGGCTCCCTCTGGTAGTTCTTTTTTTTGGGGGGGGTTCATATTTATAGGGTCCTATATAAGGTCATCCCAACAAGGAACCACAATGGAGCCTGTGGGTACAGAGCGCTTCCCACAACACCTCGGTCTCCATCTCTCGTTGGAGCGTTCCGGGGCACCCGGCTGTCGCGACGGATGGGAACAAGGCAGCGCCTCGAGACCGAAGTTAAAAGGCAAAAATTACTCTCACACCTCGATTCCGAGATGACCCGCAAGGACCCGCACCTGGACCACGGGAGGCAGCGCCCTCTCCGGCAGCCTGGGCAGCTCCGGTATCTTCACCTCAGGCTTCAGCTGGGCTCCTGAGAAGCTTCAGAGTCAGAGTCCTTGTCCTTTTTCCGTGGGCGCAGGGGAAAAGCGCCATGACCGTGGCGATGGCAATGACAGTGGCAGATGCCACGCAAGTAACTTGCACGCGCAATGAGAATCTGAACGACTCTCTCAGTTTGCCTCCAAGTGCACTTTTGTGCATACTTGCAGGCTGCATGGCTGTACAGTTTCAAACAGTGTCACGCGATTGCTCTTGGTGGATTTCGGGTACCACAAGGCAGACTGCCTTTGTGCCAACCTTGTCCAAAAGAGCCCCCTCCTTGACAAAGGAAACGAAAAACCCATGACTGGGTACTGCCAGTACCCCGGACTCTAACCGGACTCAGGCCCCTTGCAGGGCCCCTTGGAGGCTCTGCACGCTCTTCCGCGCTTCACGCTCTTCGCGCAGTGAACGCGAGGCCGTCATCAGCGAGGAAAAGTCGCAGGTCTCGCCTTGGACAGAGTGGCGTTGCGAGCCTAGGGCCCAAAAGGATTGCTAGACAGGGCTGAAGCACCAACCCTGAAAAAAATGATCCCTCATCACCCGTTAACACTGTGCGGGCCGTGCCGCGGAGAACGCACTGCACGCCCACGTGCGCCACCGCCACGTCCTTTCCGGGAGGGCTCTCCTGAAACCTTATCAGGATCCCATGCGCAGAAGCCCTTAAACGGAAAGAGCCCCATTTGCCCCATAATTAGAGCATGTCGAGACAGGCCCAAACCGCTACTGAAGCGTTCGCTGCGAGCCCGGGCCTTGGCACAGGCCTGGGCGGAGGAATCCCGCAGCTCTTTCGGGACAGGTGCCTCTTCGAACAGGTCCTCCTAGGAATCTTGGTTGGCATCTTGGCTTGGGGGGCTGTAGGCTGTGTTACGGGCGTAGGAGTTGTAGGCCGGTCTTGGGGGTTTGGTGTTGACTCTCAAACTGAAAGAGCCCAGTGTGCCTCTGAACCCTGTGCTTTGGGGACTGAACCCTTCTGGCATCAGCAACATAGTCGCCACCATCGGATCAGCTTATTAGCCATGTTTCAGTCACAAAAACTCCTGTCAAGGGAGACTCACCCAAGCTGTTTGCCCCTTCGCAAAAGGATCTTCCATGACACCTCCTATGCGAGAGCCACGTCCTGTGGCATTTGGAGGCCTTGCACTGCTTGACTCCGCAGGACTCTAAATTCTATATGTTGTGGTCTCTTGTTCCGACGAACTCCAAATTGTCCGATTCCGGGGCTCCTCCCCCTCATCCTCCTCTTCGCTCAGCTCGGCGGTGGTGGCCTGCCCTGGGAGGATGCCTTGCCTGACGCGGCAAGCTCACAAGGCGTCTGTCTGCGGGGCATAGTGAAAAGCAGGTGAAGGGTCTAAGGACTATAAGGCTTTTAAGGTGCATCTCTGCATCTGAGGTGCACGTCCAAAGAGTTTTGTCTCGTCAGCATGGCGATGGAACTTATGCCTGCCTTGACCTCAATCGGAGATCGGAAAGCCATGTGAAAGCATCGCTGCCCTGATGCCGAGAAGCTGTGTCCGAGAGGGAGAAGCGCTTGCTGGAACTGGATTTGGGGTCCTTTTTGCGGCAAATGTGCTGCAAAGCTGGGGAAAGGCGGGGGGGATAACACCTCTCTAAACCCCAAACATTTAAACCCTAAACCCTAAACCCCTCGAACCCTAAACCCCTAAAGCCCTAAACAACCTTCAACCCTAAACCCAAAACAGCCCTAAACCCACGTCTTGATCACCCACAGAGTCCCAAGTTGTTCACGTGATGGGTGGCGGTGTTCGGCCTCAAAGCCCGCCCTCTGCGGGCTTGAAAAGCCCCTCCGACTCACCCTCGTGTAATCTGGCTCCTCGTCTGCGGTGTCCAAAGCCACGGACTCCTCGCAGGAAGTCAGCGGAAGCCAAGCAAACTCCTCCTTTTTTTCCTTTCCGCACTCGGGAAAGCACCCCCCCTGCATGGCCTTGGAGTCGCGCCTGGTCAGCTTCGATAAGAGGCCCTTGGGACCCACTTGGTCCCGCTGACCTGAAGACAGGCTGGGGGGCCTCCCGGCTTCAAGGCGCAGCCAACGCACCCGCCCCGCACCTTGTATTGCTTGCTCGCACAAGTACTTCCTCCTCCCAGGAACTCCAAAGCTTCAAGCGCAAGGCAGAAGTGTGAGGCGCATGAAGCGAGGAGGCGTCAAGCTTCTTCGCCACGCAAGTCTAAGTGCCTGCTGCCACGTGCATAGAGCTGAAACATAGTAAAAAAGGGCACTAAATGGGCCTGGCCTGTAAACACCCGATAAGTCCCCAAAGTCCTAGCTACGCCTCGTGGTCCTGAAACTTCAAGCCTCGAGAGAGCCAGAGCCTTCAGGGCCTCGAGGAGCCTCAAAAGGTTCTATTCTTCGAACTATTAGGGTTATTAGGGTTCCTGGTTCAGGGTTTAGGGTTCAGGGTTCAGGGTTCAGGGGATTTAGGGTTTAGGGTTCAGGGTTCAGGGTTCAGGGTTTGCGGTTTAGGATTAAGGTCCCTATATTATTTGGGCCTGCAAGGTTCCCTAGCCCGGGCTTTGGGCTTTGACCCGAAGCAACCCCTGCGGAGAGTCGAGTCTTGAAGGTCTTGATGCTTGCCATGAGTAGATGTCCCTGTTCTTCCTGCGATGTTTTAAATATGTCTTATATCATAGGGGGACCCGGAAAAACCCAGAAGAATTAGGGCCCAACACGCTGGGACTGAGCGCCCCTCACAACCAGCTACCAAGATGCTCTTCGGCATGCTCCGGGATGCTCCTGGCTCCTTCCGTCTTGAGCTGGCGCTTCAGCATGCGCTTCTCTTTGAGAAGTGTTGTCACCTGCGCCTCCTGGAAAAGCAGGGCAGGGAGGAGGAGGATCACGCGTCGCTCTCCGCGCGCGTCGCCCTGCCAGCCGGAGAGTCCTTCTCCTGAAGCCGGTGCTTCAAGGTCGCCTCGCGAGCTCGCGCTCTGTCAAGCTCGTGGCCGACGTCCTGGAGCCTCCAGAAACTTGGGGACCCAGAAGAAGTTTCGGTTTCGTGCTAGGCCCGGCCCCAAAATTTCCGGCCTCGTGAGGAGGCTTCCCTTCCAGTCCTCCACGAAGCCCTGCCACTCGCGCATGCTCGCCACGGCCTTCTCTCGCATCGTGCAGAACTCCCGCTTGAAATCGGCACCTGCCCAAGCTGCCCACATGGCAGCGAACGACAGCGGCCCAGAGGACGGAGCCCTTTGAGGCTCAAGCTCTCGACTGAGGCCACTTCGGAGCCCAACTCTTCGAAAAGGGTCTCTTCCATCTTGGCCAAGGCGTTGAAGACTTGCGTGGCCGTGGAAGGCCGCATTTTCAAGCTGATCCTGCTACCAGGAAGGAGGCAGAAGAGCGGCTGGAGCAGGAGGGGTTTGCAGCTCTCCTGGATCGTTCGTGCAAGGCCGGAATGCTCACATCCTGGATAGGAAGAACACTGAAACATGGTGCCCCTTTGTTCAACAGACTGATTAGGCACTGACAACGTAGATGGCGGTGAAGGCGTCCCTTCGTGAACTCAAGGCTGAAGGCATGCTCTTAAGGCTCCACACCCGGCCTTTCTCGCGCGGGCAGGTCATCGTCTTGGAAGTCCGGAGCCATCGCACCGGAGCAACCAGAACACTCCGTTCTTTGGTTGTCAGGTTGGATGCTTGTGGGCTCTGGGCCTTTTCTATCTGCGACACTCCCTGAACCATGAGGTATCCTGCTCTATGACCCGGCCATGCCGGCAGAAGCTACGATTGTTTTAATAAGCTGCATTTATTTTCTGGGCACCTTGGGCCAGCTCTCACGGCCCATCGCATACTGGACGTGCCCTCTAGATGCCCTATCCAAGGTCAAGGTGCTGCCCACTTGGGCCCCTACCGGCACCTTCGGCGCTGCTGGCGCCGCGGGCGCTGCTGGCGCTGTCGGCGCTGTGGGCGTTGCTGGCGTCGGTGTCCCGGCTGGAGATGGCACCAGGGTCTCCCTTCGCCTGGGCCCCGCACTCCCATCTCGAAGCCAAGGACACAACAGGAGATTTTTGCTGGGCCGAGCGGCTCCCCGTCCTTCTCCCGCGAGCCTGCTGAACTCACTAGCATGGCTTGGGGCTCTTCCTGGGAGCCTTCGCCCTGCTCGGTGCCCGACGAATCTTGGATCGCAATGCCTGTTGCAGGGCACTCTCCTGCCGCTTGGGGAGGAAGTGATTAAGCTCGGGCTGCCTTGTTGTAGCGTCTCACGAGGTCGTCAGGCACCTGGACAGCCGCAGCAAGAATCCTCCTAAAACAAAAAGCAGCGCAGAGTCTTTGTTGAGTCACTCTAGAATACCAGTATATAGGATTATGAATATGTCTTCTTGAGCTTTGGGACCTGCTTGCCGTCCAGCAGGCAATCGGCAGCTTGCTCCCGGATGCAGGCCTGCTCCTGCCAAGAGGCACGCAGTTGCTGCGCGACTCCTTTTTGTTTGCTGCCCTCGTTTTTGGAACAACAGTCGCCTTTGCCACCTTCATGGCTTCGAGCCGGCTGTACCTCGGAAGGACCCATCCGAGGCGCGCTTTTTCACCACTCTCTGACTCTCACTGCATTTCTGCGCACTGCTTGTGCCTGTCGTCGAAGGTCATCCGCTTGTCTTTCGGAACCTGCACGCGGACAGGGGGAGAAGGACGAAGCACACGACAGGATTGCCGCTCCTGATGCAAGGACGTGGTGCAAGCCACCGTCTCCGTGTCGTATTCCTTGTTCTCCTTGAAAGCAAGGCTTTTAGCTGCCAGAAGTCTTCCGAGGTCTTTGTTCGCCTCACTGAATCTCAGGTAGTCGATGAGGGGCTGTCGCCTCAAGGGAAGGGACGCCAAAATCTGCCCCGTAACTCCTTGTGCAAGAGCCCGGCATGGGGCCGTCCACCACTACCGGGCAGCCTCGCCTCCGGCACTGGCCGCTTTTTCTTGGGAAGGGTTTTATAACGCAACTTGGGCCAGGACTTTCCGGGCTCTCGGGAGTGCCTCCACTCGATGCTCACCTTTCACGATGGACACAAAAAAAAGTCCCCAAAATGCAGGGTTCTTCCGACAGATTTCTGCCGGGCCTCATGGCCGTCCAGGAGGTACACCCCTGGCGTGACCTGCTGCACCTTGCGTGACCTGCAAGTCAAGAGATGCACCGTAAGTGGGTGTCGGCTCGGGCCAGCTTGGGAACCGAGCTTGGACACATCCGGATTCTTCTTGAGGATGTACAAGACATGCTGGTGGATGAGGTCCTGGGAGAGTAGCTGTTAACCTGTTCTCAATCCCGGGAGCTTCGCTTCGCGCCTCGTCCTCCTTGGGAGGAGGGACGACCGTCTGCCGCGAGGCAGCTCGAGGTGGAGACATGGAGGTCTGCCGAGCCTCTGCAGTTGCGAGCCAGCCGAGCCAGCCGAGCTCTCAGCTGCGATCGAATCAGTTGGGATTCCGGGCCGCACGGTAGTCGGCCGGAGGACCTCTGGCAAAGAGCACCGAACCCGAACATCGGACTTGGAGTAAAAAATTCCTTGTTGGGGCAGCGGCTCGTGGGATCCGGGAATCCCATGCGTGAGGGGGTCATGGACGGCCTGTGCAGCGTGCGCGCGTGGCCCCCCCGCGGCGCGCCCCGGGCTGACCCGGCCTGATGCTCCGATGTCGCGAGCGCGGGGACGGCGACTCCTGGTCCCAAAGGCGCCGACCTACTCTCTGCTCTCTGCCGAAGAGGTCTCGTCTCGAGCCTGAAACCGGGTCCGTGGAGTGTCCGTGGCCGGGGCGGTGTCCTGCGCCCTGAGGTCGGAATGGGAGGCTGCTGATGCAACCCACGAAACACTCTCCCGGATCTGAAACCTGGCTGCCTGAGTCCCTTCTCTGCCCCTTCTACAATTATCCACATTTCTGTGGCTTGCCCGTCCTTATGAAGAGCGGCTGCGGCTGCTGCGGCTGCGGAACGGTTGCCCTGCCCAGCGCTTGCGCATGCTAGCGCATGCCAGCGCGCCCTAGATCTCCCAGCTTCTCTTTTCGGCCCACCTCTGAGGAGACAGCGAACGATTCCAGGATGCCTTTGGGCCGAAGCATGGCGAAGCTTTACGGACAGAGAAGAGCCACTGAAAGAAGCGTGGGAGTCAACTCCCCCTCGACTCTTCTTTGCCTGCGTCGCCGCCCGGGCTCGAGCTGCCAGATTTGGGCCGCCGCTGGGCGCTGCCGCAGAGGCAGAGATGCCGAGCGGTGCAGGCTCCTTCTTCTTTCACCCCAGCCCTATAACTGCTTGTATAGAGGTGAGGGGAGAGGGAGAGGGGAGCTGAGGGACGGCGCCTCCCTGCGTGGCTCGTCGCCCCAGAGCCGTGCCAGCGCGCTGACCGGCGTGGCCTTGGCTGGGCTGGGGCAGGGCTGGGCAGGGCCCCAAGCTCGCTGAGGCGCCGGGCCACTCGCCGGCCCCTCTGAAAGAGCGGATGTCCTGCACAGATAAGAAAAGAGTGCAGAGTTAACAAAGGAGAGCCGAGTCGAGAGCCGGGAGGGAGGAGAGCTGAGTGGAGGAGTCCTGGGCTCTGGCCATGGCCGGAGCCTGCGACAGCGACAGAGAGTCCCTTCAGAGAGCCCCGCTATTCTCCACTGCAAAACACCCCACAAAGCGACGCGCACCTGGGAGCGGCTGGGTCTGCCTGGTTAAAACGAGAGGAGGAGGAGAGGCGTTAGAACCGTTCCCAAATCGCCGCTTATAGGGGACCCCCGCCCGGGGGCCTGCTGTGGGAAGATGGAGGCGTTCCAAGCAGCGCCTCCTCCCGGAGCACTTTTGCTGCTCACAGAGTGCTCTGACGATGCCCGACGCCCCGCACCTGGCGCGGTGGCCCCGGGTAGCTTGCGACGGCCTCACAGCACATCCCACTCACAGGCAGACACCATGGCCTCTTTCTGCTCAGCTCCCTGCCGCGGCCATACAGCCTGGCACGGAGAGAGGGCGCTTCAAGAGATGCACCCTAAACCCTAAACCCGAAAAATCCTATAAACCCTAAACCAGGGGTGTCGCGCCAGAATGAACCGAGAGAGGGACGCGCCTCAGGGGAGCTCAGAAGGGCAACCTCATGAAAGGCCGTGGGCCGAGACTGGGAGCCACTTGATCCACGACGATATGGCATATGGGAAACCCAGAGGGTACACTTGGGGCTTATAGGGCTTATAGGGTTTAGGCACGCTGCGCAACATCACACTCCACAACGGCCCCTCTTGCTCTTTCTCTTGCTGGGTATAGGCATGCGCTTAAGGCACAGTGCGGAGGCTCGGTCTCCGTGCATTTTTCTCAGGCAGTGCGGAGAAACGATAACGGCGCGTGCAAGCCTACTCAGTCTTTCGCAACGCGCGATCAATCCCCCTGCGAAGACATTGGGCGAACATAATGCAGGAAAAATGGCTGTAGTTGTTGCTGCTGGTTTTCTTTATCTTTGCTGATTATCCCACCCTCGGAGAAAGCGGGCGGGCAAAGCAAACCCTCCAAATTTTGAAGGACTGACTTTGCCCGCACGCTGGATTCTCCTGGCCTGCTTCCATAGGTCATGGGATATCGCCCAATGCAGGGTAGCAGTCTTGAGAACCTCGTCCGGCCAACTTGGGATGTGAGCTGCAAGGACGTTCAATCCGTCGAGCATTGTCAAGGTCTCGCCGGCAGTGTTTCGCAACTTGCCAGGATCGTGGGGAGCATCTGCAATACACGGATCGCTCGCTTGCCTGTTTCCGGCTGCTCATAAACCGACTATTGCACAGGTAGAGCGCTCAAACGGTCAAACCCCGCCTCATTTAAGACGGCGGGAAATGGAAGATGTTCATGGGTGCAACAAAGCCATATTTGTTCCCACCTCCTCGTGGGAATGCTTCAATGCTGTACTTCGTTCTCTTGTACCAAGTCCCAAAGCTCCATGGTTCGTGGGATCAGATAGGATGCCTTCCCTTCTGTCTGAATATATGGAATCTCCACGTTGCTTTTCATGCCCACGAAACCGGCAGCATCGCGAATAAACTGAGCATCATCATGGCTAGCATGGCTCCTGTCGCCAACGCAGGATGAGGGTGTCGTTGCAGGTCGGTGCTCGAGCAAGAGTGCACAGCCGATGACATGCTCGCAGCATGAGATACAGAAGGCAGGTAGCACGGCATCGTGTCTCCGATATGGAATCTTGCCGAAAGAGGTGCTGCAACGCTCCCATTTCTGGCACCGCTTTGGGCATCCTTTTGTTCTGCTGCTTCCCGAAGGCTGACCTGAGGTCAGGTGACTCTGTGCTACTCTTTCCGTGCTCTGCGCCCTTTGCCCCTTCGCTTCCCCCTGGCCCGGTCCTTGCAGCTCTCAGGAAGCGTCGCTGCACGCAGCTCGGCCCTCCTCTCGCCCAAAACAGTGCCCAGAAAAACCGGCACTGCGGCAGTTTGCCGTTTGAGGGGTTTAGGGTTTCTATAGCCTGGCATCTCTCTTTCTTTATTCTTGTCTCAGCATGCAGAGAGTCTGTACAGGGTCTGAAAAGACGGCAGTGCCCATCGTGTCTCCAGGGCCGCCACACACAAAACCGGAAGAGAGCTAGGCCCTATATTGGCAGTAGAGCCCATCATGTTTCCAGGACTCCAGGGACCCAGCGAATTATGAACATCAAAAGCCCTTTCGGGAGTCCCGGGTCTCCGCCATCTCGAAGAGGAGCACCAGAGCCCCCAAGGGCCCGGCACTGAGCTCCAGCTCCAGGGGGCCCTTGACTTCGGCGGCGTCGTGGCGCTGGAGGCTCTGCTTCTCACAGCGAACCTCTCCCTCCACGCAGAGCATGTAGGCCTGCCGGCCTGCGGCGATACTGAGCAAAGGGGAGGTCTTGCCGGGGGAGAGCTCCGTGCAAAAGACGTTGCAGTCTTGGTGGATCTTGATCTGGGTCGCCACAGAGGACATCTCGTCAGAGACCTCAGTGCTTCAGCAGCCGAAGCTCTCTCTCTCTCTCTCTAGACTCGAAGGTGCTGGCCACAAACAAAAAACTCTTTCTCCGCACGGGCACCATGTGCGCCCACTTGTCCCTGCGATCGGCGGCCGCCTCCGGGCCGCCCAGGCTCGAGCCGTAGTTCGGCTTCAGGCCACGCTTCCGGGGCACCTCAGCGAAGCGACGTTGAGGCTGAAGGAAGGGAGAGAAAGGCTCGGAATCTCCTTCCTAAGCCCCTTATAGGGCCCTTAAGTCTGGGTAAACTCCAAAAGCCTTCAAGAAGGCTGACTATACTGTGCGAGCCAGCGGCGACCCAGCACTGAATGAACCGCAGCGGCTTCTTGGCCAGGTTGTGCTCGGAGTGATAGATTCCTAGGCTCTCAATTTTTTTGATCGTGCCATGTACTGTAATTTTTGTTGGTGGAGCCGTTGTTAGTCAATCAGAAGCTTTCGTGTTCGGGCACCGCAGCACGAACTAAGCTCCAGGACCGAGAATCCCGTCCCTGCGGTCATGAACTGGATGGCGCCACGGCCCAGCGTCTCCTCGTTGCCCTTGGAGTCCTATGAGCCATCAAATGGTGGCTTAAAGGGCGTCTTTCATGAACTGAGGGCCCTCTTTAGAGGCTCCTTGTGCGTAAGCTCTCCGTCCACTATGAAGGTCCTTAGTTGCTGAGTTGAGAAGCACAAAAAAGTGTACACACTTTCAGTTCTGTAAGGGATCATATGATCCCAAAAGGCTTAAAAGTTGTACTCATTCAGCTACTAAGGGTCATGATCTCCATGTCGCGGTGCCTCATATTGCGAGGAAGATCCCTTCTCCCGACGCCCTTCTGTCGTGGAATGCTTGCTAACCCTTCAAAATGCCAGACCAGGGGCGGGTGCTCACCAAATCCGCGCTCGCCCTGCACAAGGTCATCGTTCCTGGGATTGCGATGCGGTGTTGACCGGCAAGAGATGAAGTTGACGGAAAGGGACCGAAGCAAGAGAAGGTGAAAAGCTTGCAGTTCAAGGCTCATCACACGCAGGACACCGAAGTTGCTGGGCCCTTCATGGTACTCCGCGAAGCTGAAGTGGAACCTCGACCTTCGCAGCCAAAACTGCCATCACTCGGGGTCCTCTGAAGAGGATGGCCCAGAGGAGCTACTTGCAGCTCAAGCGGCTTCAGCCAGTTCTGGTTCGTCCAGCCCTGGAGTCGAATCAAAACGAAGAAGCAGAAGGTTTAGGGTTGGGTTCCATCTATGCCTGTGGCCATCCCCCACCCGCTCCCATTGGGGAGAGTTTGGAATCTGTGCCGCGACCTTGCCATGCCTCCTCAAAAGAACCCGAGACCCTGGGATCCATGCAACTGTTGTCGGCTTGGGATCTTGGTATCACGGCGATACCTGTTGCTATTTCCGGTTCTTAGTGTTTCCGAGATGTGTCAACGGTGCCAACAGTCACAGGGCTGGTTGGTCTACTGTTTCGATTCTCGTGACTCGTAACTGTCGAAAACGTCCACAGAGAGGGGAGAGGGCAATGGGCTTAAACCATGCATTTTCTCACAGAATAATACTGACCCCAAAATATTGTGGATCACAGGATTTCGTTCGTTTAAAGGAAGATCTTTATAGGTGAAATAGAATGCTATCCTAAAGACCTACATTCTGTTGCCTTATTGTGTTCATCCTTTCTGTTGCCTTCTCGTGTGCCTTGTTTGATTAACTAATCCGGCAGAACAGCAGAACTCCCATGCCAACACAGGCAAGGGAATGATAAATGCCAGCCCGAACCGACACAAACACAAACACGGGGGGGAGACGTGGGAGGGTGGGCCATGTAAACAGCTTTTACGAGGACGCCTCAGCCGTGGTATCTGCCGGGTTCCGCGGATTTCCAAACCAGCGAGGATCGGGCTCGCTGGCCTCGCAGGGGCGGAGATGGGAAAGCGCCCACGGCCAAGTGCGATGATGCCAAGCTGCGAAGAGGCGGCTTTCCGTGATCACGTTCAGGGCCATGGCGCGCGGCGCTCGTCGACAACCGGGGACGCTTAAAGGGTAAGCAGAGCTGAGAGCAAACGAAGCAATGCCTAGCGTCTAGATGCACAAGTCTCCGAGCATTGCAAAGAGATATCCATTCCCCGACTCCTGGCGTGGAGCTCGGCACGAGCCTGGCTGCATTTCGAGAACTGAGCGGTCGAGGCTGCCAAGGCTGAGAAGCCCTGCCTGCGAGATCTTGTTGCCCGCCAGGGCACCTCGAGCAGGTCCCCGCAGAGGCCGTCGCGCCGTCCGCAGAGGCCGGCGCGGGCTCGGAGGACCCGGGCCCGCACCCGTGGGTCGCAGAGGCGACGCGGCACGCAAGATGGCCTCCCGTGCCTCTCCAAGAGAAGTCTCGAATCACACGGCTTCCTCTGCCATGGCACAGCTCTCTGTCTCCGCCTCCTCCTGCGGTCTCGACTTCCGCGGTCTCAAGCCCGTGTCGAGGCATCGGGCCGAAGGGGTCCTCTGTCAGGAAAGCCAAAGCCCAACTATGCGAGGCCGCGAGGCCGCGAGGTGTCGAGGCCAGGACGTCGAGCGCTCCGAACCTGCTTCGATGGAAAAAAAACCCGACAAAAACTCGCCCCAAGCCGTCGCGCCTCGTGCCGAGCCCACGGAGCGGTCGCGCTCGCGCGCCGAGGGCGGCCGGTAGTGCCACGTGGCCGGCGCCACCGCCGGCTGCGTCGACCTGTCACGGTCTTGGGGCACAAGGGAGCAAAAGAGGCTGATGTCGCAAAGCCACGGACTTTCTTTTGGACTTTTACTTCGGGGCTCGAGGCTTGGCGATCTCTCTGCCTCGCGCGACCCTCCCAGGGCGCGGTCGACTGGGCTGCAGGGGCTCTCTCCGAGCTCCGGGGCGCCCCATGGCCGTCCTAAGAGCGACTTCAAGATCTAGACGGGTTCAACAGGGTCGAGATTTTCGGGCGTAGGTTTTCCGGCAGTTTGATACGTGGAAATCCCCCGTCTTAGGTCGAAGCACCGCCGTGAAGGTCGCTGGCGTAGGGTGGGCAAACTCTGTAGCCTGGCTCGTTTTGCGCGGGGAGTTTCTGAGACACCGAAGCCGCCAGTGACGCAATCACAAGCCGGCTCCCACTTGGCGGCGAAGGAAACCGCGGCGGAGGGATGTCTTTGATCTCCTCCCTGCCTGGCGATGACGCGAGACGCGGGGCCTCTCGCCAGCACCGTCCCTTCCCAGCCTGGCCTAGTGAGGATCGTAAGCCACCAAGGTCTGAGCAGCTTGGCAGGCTTCGGAAACACGCTGCGACGAAGTCTACAAAACCTACAAACCCGCCACATCCAAATCATCCGATTGTCTCTTCTCTTCGCGACTTGCTGTGATCTCAGACTCACACCTCGCCTGCCTCGCCTGCCGGCTCTCTTTTCTCCCCTTCATCCCTCGTGCCCGAAGCCCCGCCGAGCCTGGTGAGGAGGCAGAAGAAGCCAACGGATGTGCTGGGACGCTGGAGGTTCCTCCTATACAGGTGGCAAGAAGGGCACACTTATCGAACATACGCAAGGAGGGTCCTCTCAGCACTGCATGGGACAGGCTCCGCGACGGTGGCCTGGCCTGAATTAAACGTTCCGAAAGAGTAAAAACATCCTGCTGCTTGTCTCTCGTCAGGGCTCAAACAGAGGCGTCCTCACGCGGATAGAACACCTCAAAAAAAAGCGCCCCCCCCCCCCGGCCCCACTCTGACGGACGCTGAGCTGTCTGAGATGGCACGCAGGGCCCTGGCGTGGCCGTGTCGGCGCCTCGGCGCATCCAGGCGAAGCCTGGCTGTGCGGCTGGGGCTCGAGCCGTGCAGGCCTAGTTATGGGGGCCCCGCAGGGAAGTCTCAAAGCCCTGAAAAACAAAGAAGGCCCTGTTCCCGGGCAAGGGCTAAGGCGAGGGCGTGGGCACGCCTGCTGCATCCGGAGCGCCCACCGTGCGGGCACCTGTACTTGGCAGAGGTAGAGGCTGGGGCTTCGCAGGGGCTTAGGCCCCCCTTCTTTGTTAAGGCTCGGCGAGGCTCACGGCTTAAGCCTACACCGCTGAAGCGCTGCATTCAGGCCTGGCCTTGAGACAGCATGCACTGCGACGTGGCTGAGAATCTTTACTTCGATAAACCCTGCAGAAAGCTCCAATTAGATTCGAGCAACAGCTTGGACAAGGCTTGTCATGATCTTGCCATGTCTGGAGCCAGAGCCAGAGCCACTGTCGAATGCACAACTGAGACATGCTGCGGAGTGGCCTGGCAGGCTCGCAAAAACCGCAGGATTTTCTGTTTCTCCACTCAGCGATTTCAATAGATGTCAGCATTGCAACCACTACACTATATCCCGTACCTCGCTCTGCAGGCGTCTTGAAGCATTCTGGAGCCCAACGGACAGTCTCGTCTTACTCTTGTTACTCTGACTCCCTGCAAACCTCTTCGGCTGGGGTGCTTGGGCTCCTGACTTCCGGTGCTTAAACCATGAAAAAAATCGCTCGCGCACCTCAGCCAGGTCTCTACCCAAAGGCAAAAACCTAACCGCTCACTTCGTCGGGGGCATGTATGCAGCCGTGTACATGTGACGGCCCTTGCGGATGGGATTCGGCTTGTTGTCCTGCCACACATAAAAGAGGAAGAGCAGGAGGAGGAGCAGCAGAGGCTGCCGTGGGGCTGGCCTGGCGGTCGATGTAGTCCCCGGAATTCCCCATGTCCAGCAGGAAATAATTGCTGGCCTCGGGTCGGGTCGGAGTCTCTCTCTCCTCTCTCGCCTCTCTCTCCTCTCTCCTCCCTCCCGAGGCGAAGGGCTGCCGGTGAGTCCACGGGCGCAAAGCTGAAGGTCTTGGCATCGGGGTCATCCCGTCCATACCTGCCGCAGGGTTTCGAAAGACTATGGGGGGAACCCCACCCCCCTCTTCCTGTTGATGGTATTCATAAATCTTGCATTACTTTAAGGATCCTAAACTATGGGGGAATTATGGTACATTCCTTATGATGGGGTACTGCAGGATTTATGTCATCAACCGTAGTACCATCCCTTTTTTTGGGGCTCCGGGCGGCATCAGGCTGAATCGCCAGGAGATGGGCCTCGGAGGAGCCCCGGAATGAAGGGGAGCCCCTCCCAAAGCACAACTCCCCGCCGAGCGGCTTGGGGATCTCGGTCACCGGAAGCTTCTCGGCATCCACGGCCAGATGCTCACACAGCCTCTGCAATTCTACAAAAACTCAGAGATGCGCCTCAGAAGGCTGTTTGCCTCTGTGCGCGTTTTGGTGGTGACGCGCCTGTCAAAGGATCTGGCTTGCGTGGCGTCGGAGATGGCCTGCAGCTTCCAGGAAACCAAAACCAAGGACGTGTTCGCAGAAGAGCCCCGGATTTTTTGTTCCCCCTCTTCCGGACCTCCTCCCAGAGATGGTTCAGCCGTTCCACCTGAGCTTTTGAGGCTCAGAGGGCCGCCCCAGGCTCAGCTCAGGGCGCGGCGAAAATGCGAAGCTTCCGCTTCCCCCACGCTGCCCTGAAAGCCTACGAGCTCCCCGGCCTCGTGGTCGTACTTGTGCTGGCGCGAGTGCGCCTCCTGGAGACCGACACCACAAAAATTGCAGCAAGTTGCAGGATTTTTCTTTGGGCTTCGAAAACTTTTTCGGGAATCCGGCGCCTCTGCGTCGGACATGAAGAAGCCCTTCTTGACGAGCCTGAGCCCCCGCGAATCATTGCAAAAGCCTGACCTGCAACCCAGCGCGCCCTCGAACTCTCGAAGGGCCGAGTCGCTCGTCGCCCAGGGCATAAAGACGCATCTTCTCCAGGAACATCCACGCCTCACCAAAAGGACCAACAAAAACAGGAAAGCAATCACAAGCGCAAAACACTGAACTCTTCCCTTGAGATCCGAATCCCCTTTGAGCTCTCAGGCCTCAGTGCGGGAAGTCACGTACATGACCTGAGACGCCAGGCTTGCGCAGTAGTGCGCGGTGCATTGCTCGAAGCCAGAACCTCCATCTCTGAAAGATCAAAATCAAAGGCCTCTAGGGCCTTAGACAAACACGCAAGAGAGATGCCGGGCAAGGGACGGCCAGGTTGTAGCCGATCAGAGCGCCTCTCTGACACGGGCAGCAACACAAATTCAGATGGGCAAAGCAGCGAGAGACCAAGCCTACCAGCCCAAGGAACTTGTAGCCGAAGCCAGGGAGGTTGGCATGGATGTTGCCCTGAGGGTGACGCGTGTCTCACAATGCTTCCTGCTGCTGTTGGACAGATCCTTTTGCTGCGAGCCAGGGGCGTAGATGGGCGACCAGAGGGCGCTTCCCGTGCTGGTGAGGGTGGTGTAAACCTTTGCCGCAGGTTTGTGCCTCCCTCCCCCGCCACTTTTTGGCCCAGGAGTCTTGGCCGCGCGCGTCACCCAGCACTTTCTCCATGGCGGGGCGCCGAGCGCGCAGCCACATGGTGATGGGGGCCTCATTTGTGACACAAACGCGACCTGCGCAAGCCTTGAAGGAGCTCGATCGGGTCTCGGGTGTCTCGGGTCCGGGCATAGTTCCAATGGCCGATGTTGAAGTGCTTGTCCGGGATGGATGGCTGGTACGTATATTTGTGGTAGTCTGCCTGGTGCAGACGAAAAGAAGCGTAGAGATCGGACTTGACGTGCACAGGCCTCGGGCAGGGTCCATCGGGGCTTTGCGTCTTCTGCACCTCCTGAGCAGCCACCAAAAACGAGGCTCCCTCCGCTCCGCAACAAGAGAGGCACACTTCTCTGGCATCTCGCGCGGGCCTGCGCGCAAGAGCCTGGTTAGGCGGAATCGGAGTGGCCGCGCCTCAGGGAGACCCGGGGACGGAACAGGTGAAGGCCAGGGAAGGCCAGGAGACAGACAGGTCCCCGTTTGCAGCTGGGGCCCTAGCCGAGCGGAAGGCCATCTCGCTACGCCCCAGGGGGAGTCTCTACAGAATCGAAGCCTTTTGAGCCTAAGGCGGTACATCCCACGACATTGCTGAAGGGAAAAAAATAGGAGCTGACTTAAGAACATCGGCAAAGCGGACTTTCCCGGATTTTCGCTCACCGCATGAAGCTGTGACTTGCACCCAGCAGGAACTCGGTCAGTTCACCTGACGAACAGCAGCAAAGGAATTGCAAACTTCCGAAGCTTGATCTGAAGACTCATTCAAGCTGCTGCCAGACACGTTGATGGAGGACTCCTGCACATACAGGCCGTTTGGGGGGGAGCTTGTCTCTACCTCCTCCAATCCAAAAAAGCTCCCTTGGCCCCACTCTCCGGATACAGCGCACTCCAAATACGATCAGGAATGGTTCAGTTCGCGGAGCTTGGCCTGGGCCGGCAGAATTGCCCAACCCGAACCAACTCCTTTTGGATCAGCGTCTTCGGGTCAACTGATCAAAAGCTGCGAGTCCCACGAGTACGAGTAGATCCAGGCCGCCCTTCCGAGTAGTTCTCTAAACTAGGGTCCCTTTTCTGGGCCCCCCAATTTTTGTACGGCACCCTCCCCTTAGAGAACAAGCCATGCATACTCCTGGTGCACGCCGCTGACATAAAGCCGGCTCACCTCAGGAGACTACTGCGGCTGCGCCATGCTGCGCCTGTCATGTCCTCTCTTTGAGCTCCCCACCTCACTGGGCGCCAGGAAGGCCGCCGCTGCGGTGCCCAGGAAGAACCTTGCAACGGTTTCGGAGGCGGAGAAAGCTCTGAAGGATATACGGTTTAGGGTTTAGGGTTTAGAGTACTTTGCAGCCGGCGGGCTGATTGCTCCAACCATAACGCTCGAAGCCTGCGAAGGGCGACCGTGTAGAAGACAGATGGATATAAAGACAAGACAGTCAGACAGGCCAGGCAGACGGGTAGAAAAATAGATAGGTGGATAGATTGAGAGATAGATGGATACACTGAGAGATTCTCACTGGCTGACTGAATCACACGATTGGTCTGTCGGGCGGTCGATTGGTCGGACGGTCGGTCGATTGGTCGGCCGGTCGGTCGGTCGGTTGGTCGGTGGGTTGGTCGGTGGGTTGTTGGCTAATTCATTGATTCACTGGTTCATTGGTTAGTTTCATTAACTCATTGATTCACTGATTTGCTGATTCATTGGTTGATTGATTGATTCAATCATTGCTTGATTGATTCATTGATTCATTGGTGGTTCATTGGTTGATTGATTGATTGACTGATTGATTGCTTGGTTGATTGATTAATTCATTGCTTGCTTAATTGATCGAAGCATTGCTTCTGGATTCATTGCTTCGTTGCTTCATTGACTGATTGATCGATTGATTGATTGGAATAAAATTGTGTGTGTGTGTATATACACCCACACACACACAAACACACACATATGCATATACATATACATATATATATATGTATATAAACATATATATATACACACACATATATATATATATTCATTTATTTATTTATTTATTTAATTATAGAGTCAGGGAGACAGAGCAGAGACCAAACACAGACGGAGAACGAGAGAAAGCTGCAAAACGTGCATGTCTACTGTCGCCCCCGCCGGTGCCTCGCTGGCGATCCATGTACTCGAAGAAGGACTGGTAAAGCGGCTCCCGGAAGAAGCGCGTGTCACCGCCAAAGAGGCAGCCATACCTCTGCTCTCTCCACTCTTCGCTTTGAAGGTCCTAAAAAACGGCTCACGAAACATCCCCGCTTAAACCCTAAAGCCTAAACCCTAATTAAACCCTAACAGAACCGACTTCCCACCACCACCATCACTCCGAGGAACAGCACGGTGGAGGCCTGCAGCGCCACCGGGACCGACTCCAAGGAGATCTGCAGCTTCCTCGCCTTCTCCTCGAAGCGGCCGCGCGCGTCGAAGCGCCGGTTGCGGATGCGCAGCTGCTGTTCCTCACGAGCTGGAGGGGAAAAGAAAAGGGTGCTCTGGATGAAGGGAAACACTTCCCAAGACTTAAGATGAATTGACGAAGAGCAATTAAGAGGTGTCCTCCAAGAAAGCCAGGGAGGCTTGCATGTAGTTTTCCTGTCTCTGGCCTTGGACGTGGATCTGCCAGTAGCCCAGGCGGAGGCCCGACTCCTTCATGTGCAAGAAGGGGTCCCTCTCCAGAGCTTGGGTAAAGAAGAAGTCGGTGTCGATCTTGAGGAAATGCCTCCAGGGTTTAGGATTTAGGGTTTATATAGGGTTTAGGGTTCAATTAGGGTTTAGGGTTTAGGCTTTCGATCTTGAGGTGCCTGCACGAGTCGAGGGCGGGATGGAGGAAGAGGGGCCCTGCAGTGTAGCGCGAGATGCGGAGGTAGGTGGGAGACCAGTACTGCGTCCCATTCACCTTCGCGCGGTGGGCCTCCACCTGAAGCTCCATCTCCGCATCTCCGGAAACGCAGAACTCCCCCTGCTGGCAGCTGTAGGAGGGCATGGGGCGCCGAAGCTCCGTCTCTGGGATCAGGGCCGCTTGGATCTCCAAGCTCGTGAAGGGCCGCAGATCCGCTTCCAGCAGGCGCTCGCTGTCGGCGTCGACGAAGACCACCAGCCGAGGAGGTCGCCTGGAGCCGCTGCCCAAGGAGAAGGCCTCCAAAGAAGGGGGGCCCATTTTGGAGCTCTTCGACCCGAAAGCCCCTTTCCCCCTTGGCCTCCACGTAGTTCGACTGCAAGGAGGCCAAGGCTTTCCGCACATCCCTGCGGATCTCCTCCGTCGGGAAGGTGTAGATCAGAATCAGGCAATCCTCCGAGGGCTCCTGCTCCGAGTCCCATGCGGGCAGGAGCAGGCGGCTAAGCCCGTGCAGAAGCCTGGCAGGCAACCACCTCCGATGCAGCAGCCGAAGGGCCAAAGAGCCTTCCTCTTCCAAGAGGAGCCTCTGTGCCTTCGCAAGCAGCGTGAAGAGCGGGAGAGCAGCGGAAGCGGGCTGAGCCGCCTCAGCCGCCGAGCCCAGGCCCAAGTCCTGACAGGTCTCGTTGCCGCCGACCGGGCGCAGCTCCGCCAGGGCCAGCGCCAAGGTCGCCGCGGCCCGGCCGACGCCGCAGCCTCCTTGGCCGCGCGTGGCCAGGAGGAAGTCCAGGGCCGCGGCCATCGGCAGCGGCATGGGCAGCGGCCCGGAAAGCCGCCCGCCGCGCGGCCGCGGCGGCACGTGGTGGTGCAGCGCTTTGTGGAACTGATCGGCACGGACGCCAAGACAGTCCGCAAGGCCGCCGTCCACCGAGTCGCTCAGGATCTCCGCGAGCCAGTCCAGCGCACCGAAGACTGGAAACCCGGAGCAGAGCATCGCGGCCAGGCTCTCCAGGCTTTCGAATGCGAACGCATGCCTCAAGAGCTCCTCCAGTTGAAGGAGCCTGTCTTGGCTCAGGCCATCTCCCGCTTCCAGGTCGGCCAGCAGCTGGAAGGCAAGAACCGTGACCGCGGCTGGCGGGCAGTTGAAGTCGAGGAACTCGAGAGGAGCTTGAGGGCGCCATGGCCTCCTTGCCTCCAAGGCTTCCCAGAATCCTTTCCGGCTCTCTTCCCAGCTTTGACAGCTCCAGCTGCAAGCACTCCAAACGAAGCTCAGAAGCCACAGCCATGGCAGCGAAAGCTTCATTCAAGAGCCGAGCTGGGCAAGTACGGGCTTTTTTCTTGTGTATGTCGGTGCGTGATTCTAGCGGGAGGTGTCTACGGTGTCAGTGCTCCTATTGAGTTGGTCATGCCAGATAGGTCAGGTAGGCATAGGCAATACTTGAAACAAATGGAAATGTGACACGTTCTTGATCCAGGGTGTGCTGCAGGTGCGCACCCGGAAGGATTCTCGGCCACGCAAACACGGCCGCTGCTTCATTTTCGCTAGAGCTCGGCGAGCGCAGCTTGGATCCGTCGGGTCGCAGATCGAGAACCACGGTGCTATGGGCTGCTCCTTCTTGGAGGCGAAGGCGGGCCCCGAATTCCTTCTCTCAAGCGGTGGCATTTCTTTTCGCCTTGCCCGGAAGCCTCCAGACACCCCGTTCCTCATCGAAGTGGACATTCAGCTCTCTCATCATTGTAGTTACTACGATGTTGTTCTGGTGTTGTGAGAACACGACCTCGTCACTGGCCAGGCTGGCGATGTTTTCGAGGAAGGTCTTCTGGTAGGACAAGGCCCAGCTGCGGAACAAAGAGCAGCAGCAGTGACACCGCAGGAAGAAGGGCGGCATCCCGCCCCAGCTGATGTAGATCAGAACCTGAAGGACTCAGGACGGATGAAGGACTGCGCGTGTTTGTAATTTAGAAAGTAGTAGGCACAGTGACCGGAAAGACGAAAAGAAGCGAGCAAAGAAAGGGTCGGCTCTTCGTGTCGCATGTTTCAGCCTGCATCAGACACTGGAAGCTTACAGAAAAAGGCGGGGATAGTTCCGGAGAGATGCGCGCGGGGAAAAAGGGGCACTCACGTTCGGGATGCAGCATCCAACAATCAACATTCAATTCCGAAACACGAAGAAAACCATGAGGTTCAACAGATTCGAACGCGTGAAAAGCTGGTTCGAAACTTAGAGACTCGTGCAAGAACGAGAAAGAAGCAAGAGCAAGAAGTGCAATCGGTGACGGCCAGAAAGGCTTCGAGCACCGCACATGAAAGCATTGGTACCATCCCCCCCCCTTAACGCATCGTGGGGCGCAAAATGGAACCTACATATAGGACTCCCCGACACTGATAAGTGGAGCTAAAAATGCAGGATTTCAGCGGATGTGTTTCCGAAGCATTGACATATCGGACTGTAGGATTAACCCATAAACCCTGAACCTAGACACCCCACACCCCGAAACATTAGAGTCACTAAACCTAGAAACCCTTAACCCCTAAGCCCTAAGCCCCGAACCCAGAAACCCCAAAATCCAACTTGGATCGGGCCCTGGGCCTAAACCCATCTGAACCCTGAACCGAGAAACCCTAAATTTCACGCTAACTCCAAACAAAAACCTAACCCAGAGAGACATTGAATCCAGCAAAACCAGCACTAGCAACTGTCTCCGAGGATCTCTGCGTGTTTTTTGCTTCCGTGGCATGGATCCCTCGCCCCCCCACCCCCACCCACCCACCCTGTGCATTGCACAATGTCGGTAGATAGCCTCACCACCGCCGCCCGCCCACCCACCCCTTTGCGGATGCCCTGCAAACCCTGGAACATGTAGGCAGTCTACTTTCCGTTCATTAAGGGCCAATGAAGGGAGTGGGATTAGCTGATTAGCAGACTCAATAGCTGGTTTACAGAGTTGAATCTCAGGACATCTCCCCATGTCATTGGCCAACGAACTGCTGAAGGATCTGACCCAACTAAGCTCCGCACGTCGGACACGAGAATCACGTCGAAAGCTTCCGGAACCTCCTCCTTGGGCCAAGCCTCGCGCAGCATCGGAGCGCTCTCGACGTCTTGGAGGCGGCCCAGGTCGAACTGTGCAGCCAGACAGTTGGGGCAGTTTCTCCGTGTCTCCTCCACCATGACTCTGCTAATGTCGGTCCCAAAGTGCTTGGCTGTCGGATGACGTCGAAGTAGGTTGGCCAAGGTGAAGCCAACGTTGCAGGAGACGTCCAGCAGCGTGCTGTAGGTCTTCCGAAAGAGGTATCTGACAGCGTGGTTGGCCTCCATTTTGGCCTGGTCATATTTCCAGATGCCGCCCGGAGAGCTTTGCCCGTGGCGATGGATGGAATCCCACATCTCGGGCGTTGCAACGAAGTAGGCCCGCCAGATGCCGCCCCGATGGAAGCTGAAAAGGGAATCGCTGAGCATGAAGAGGCTGCACCAAACGGCCAGGAGAAAGAACAGGCAGACACCGCACCGTCGGCCGCAGAAGCTGAAGAGCGAAGCCCATGGCTTCCCATACCACATCTACCAACCCCAAAAACAACTCAAAAAAAAAAACATGCAGAAAAAAAGAGAGAACGATAAAAAAAAATAAACTCTCTAACGCAATCTGCACGTGGAATCCTTGGGTTTGCTCTGGAGATCCTTCCGCTCTGCGCTTTCTCTGCTATCGGCTCTTGGGCCAAAGACACGAACAAAGAAGCTTTAGGGCTTAGGGCTTATAGGGTTTAGGCCAGTTTAGGCCTTAAGGTTTAGGGGACAAGGAGGCCAGTTGGATGGCAAGGTTTTTCCGCGGGAGGCCGGGCCGGGTTGGCTGAAGCTCTGGTGTTCACCCAGCTCGTCGATCTGGCTGCGGTGCCCTCTGCTCGAAGGACGCTTCCGACATCACGAAACATCTCGAAAATCGTCGCTGCCACTGAGCCTCACCATGCTGGCCACTATACTGGCCCTTGCCCGTGCCCTCAGCCTAGGTCTCTTCGAGCTCCCCAGACCTGTCAGTTGCACAAGCGCCAAGTCGTCTGACTAACAGCTCGGTCGGTCTGGCTTGGAACCTCATGATCTGCGCCAGGTGCCCTGAGGAATCGGTGATCAGCTCGGAGAAGCTGCCTGCGAGGCTGCCTCTACCAGACGGGAACCGCTGTCGGCTGAAAACCCCGGTGCTCGGCCGTCGGCCGCGCTGCACGACGCGGCCGCCCGACACCACCGCCACAGTCTCGCAGCTCCTCTCGAGCTCAAAAGGGCGCACAGCCCAAGGAAGGGTAAAGAGTAGTGAAGAGCAAAAAAACCGCCTGCAACAGCCGCTCCTGATCAAGGCAAGGCTGTGCGTTGCGATCAGCGTCGTGGGTCGGCTGGGCCGTGGAGACAGGACTGCCTCGACACTTGAGAGGCTGTCCGTTGCAACTCGAGGTTTCGGACCGGCGGCTTCTGAGCACTTCCACCATCAATGAAGCACGAGTGAGGCTGCAAGGAAACATCTCTGACACACCTCGCCCTTTCACTGGTGTCTGCCTCAGCTTCCTGAAATTCTCCCACTCACCGTTCACTCACCAAGTACCCTTTTTTCAAGAGCCTGCGCCAGAGCCGATGCGGTCGCTGCATCCAGTCCAGACCTCGGGAGTCGCACGGCAAGACAGGGCGAAGCCGCGAACACTGAAGGAGATGAAAAAGGGGTGGCCCAAAAGCAACCGAGGCACGATGCGCTAGCCTTGTCACTTTTAACTCCATACTTCTTGCAACACAGCGTCTCATGGCAGTGCATCGCCAACACAGGCATCAGCTTCTATGACTGGGGAATACGGCTGGAAGAGGGTCCGGGACAAAAGCCTTAGGCCCTCCTGCCGATGCACTGAAGAACAAAGGGCGCATAAAGATCCTTTAAAAGGAAGAGATTGCCATGACAGCCTGGCAGTTGTACAGACAACGCAAGCCAGGTAACCATGCACTTTTAGCCCTCCAAAGGCTTCCAGCCACTCACTGCCCTCATAAAGGAGGCCTTATAAGGCTTCTGGCGGCTGTTATCACTGCCTCGGATTTGAGTTGCTTCGCTGTTCTGCCAAGGTCTTCTTGAGCAGAGTCGCAGGAAGATATTGAAGTTTTTTGTGCAATTTAGAAATGTCAACCCAAGACATTTTGGGGGGCCACTGGGCCCGCTTCTGAGCTCAACCGCTGCCGGGGCCGAGACGTGGGCTCGTCCAAGAGAAGGATCGGCGCTTCCCGAATCAGCGCCCCTGGCACCGGAGATCACCAGAACGCAACGTTGCAAGTGTAGCCGGCTCGCCCTCTCATCCTTCGAGCCGGCTGCGCTTGCCAGGGCCAGCCGCTGTCGCTCGCCACCGGACCTCGGTAAGCGAAGCGACCCGAAGTCTGCAACAATCTCACAAGACCAGTCTCGCAGAGCCAAAGCCAAGTGGCACGAGCTCTCCTCCTCTCCCAACTGGCGTCTCGTATCCTTGCGGCCTCTGGCAAAAGAGCAGAGTGGAATCTATGCTTCCTGAATCTTCGCTGAGTCAGTGCCGTCAGTGCCCGTCCTGCACTTCACGAAGTCGTGGGCCGAAGCCGCCTTGGAAGCCGCCTGCTTGGGCGGAGACGGGAGACGTGGGCACTGCAGCATTTGGCAGCGCCAAGAAGCCTCGATCTGCTCCTTGCTTGCCTCACCGCTGGCTCCAAACCTCAAGAAAAAAGTGCCGGTGCCGGGTCGGTCTTTCGTCACCCCCCATGTCACCGATGCTCTGGGGGCCTGGCGCGATGGCACTGGCCACACTTGTGCCCAGCAGTGCTGGCGTCTGCGGCGCCACCTGCCGTCTGGGACTGGGGCGCGTGATGGCCCGTGTGGGAAACATCCAGAAATTCGCTGGGAAGACGGAGATCAGCGTCCGGACATGAGCGAGATCCAGCATCTGCAGGAGCTGCCCGCCTGGGAAAACCGCTTTTGATCGAGTCCTGTAGGCGTCCCGGTTCCGCTTCGGCGCCGGACCTAGTGTGATCTTTCCCGAGGAGGTCTCGAAATCCCGCAGGAGCAGACGAAGGGCGGACGTCCTGAGTCACACGTGTCACTCGTACACTGCGGCTCGCTGCATCCATAGCAGATGATCGCAAACCATAGCAGAATCAAAAGATCCTGGTCAACTGTTTCTGCTCAAGCCGGCTGGCGAGGGTCAACGGATTCACGTCTGGGCTTCAAGACTGCATGCACAAATCGACTCCGCTTTGGACTCTGGAAGTTGTACAATGAGTCACGGAGCGTCAAAAGGGCGGCAGTATGCACACGGAGAAAACCTTTTGCCGCCTTGCCCATATACACATGTTCCTCTGTGGTACCGCTTGCCAGTTTTCGCAATCCATATGTCTTGAGACATCGTTCTGGCGTGGAAGTTGGTGCAGAGGTAGTAGGCATCGAAGTTGTAGTGCTCGATGTCGAAGGGGTCGCTGTAGAGCTTGTGGGCGCCGAAGAGGAAGTCGTCGAAGTAACCACTTGTCGTGAGCACCATCGGTCACAAAGTATCGCGGTAGCGCCCGAAGCCAAAATCACCAGAAGGGTGAAAACGAGGAGCGCGTAGTCGCTGCTTGGGTCTTGTGGTGGATGAAGAGGTCCAGGTTGTGCTGCAGCTGGCGTAGCCAACATAGCCATAGCACCAAAACCATACCATCCATGCATGTACATGGCATAGCCAATCGTAAACATAGACGAAGACCACTTTCTGTTCTTCTTCAGTGCTTCATCACCAGTGACCAAGCCGTCCTCATCGAAGTCAACTGTCCCATCCGTTGGCGGTGGTAGTCGTTTGAGTTCCAAGGGGTGTCCTGTGTTCCAGAACTCGACAACACCGGTAGACAGCCACTTCATCAAGCATGGGCTTTGCATGACTGTTGTCAAAGCATCTGCAGTCATACATTGCGTTGGCGTGAGAATTGTCCAACGGACTCGTCCGCCGGCCCGTGCCTCGCGATGGGCCATGATGTATAGCCGCTGACTTTTGTCCTGAGGCAGCGTTCGTGTTCCCGTCGTCAACTCGTAGAAGTCCCTGCAATCGGTATGCACGTCGACCGGGAAGTAGGGAGACCCATGTTCTTGTACCGCAAGTAGCCGTTGAACAGTTGGCTTTGTAGGGCCCATGGTGATCTCAGCCAATCTCGCTGAAACCAAAGTCGAGCATTCGAGGCCATTGATAGCCGCGAGGGTTTCTCCATGACTTGTAGAATAGGAGACCCTTTTAGCCTTGTTGCTTTGCATGTGCAGCAATTGCGCTCGTCCAGACAGACACTGCTTCGCGAAGGTATCGGTGGCAACGATGTGTTCCTCCGCGAAGTTCACGGTGTCGGCCATCAGGAAAACCAGAACACCTTCCTGGGCGTAGTTCTTGGTTGCCGTCGCAGACGCTTGCATCATGAACGCAAACAATTCGGTACGCCCTTGAAGGCAGTGCTCGATAGAATACTGCAGCCTCGGAGCCCTGCTTGGCGCGGTCGATGAGGGCGTTCGCCAAACGTAGGTGCTTCACTTTGGCCTTGTTCATCACCGGCTGCAAAGTGGAGGGCTCTGCAAGTACATCCGGGCGAGTGAGCGAGGTCCACATCAGCCCACCGATCACAGACCGCAAGGACGTCGTCTCCTGTGGTAGTAGATCACGTCCGTCCCTGTCGTTGACACTGATGGTCACGGGCTTCAGCATCCGAACGTACTCGGCCTGGTCCACCTTGTAGCCGTCAGGAAGGCGGCTGTAGCGACAGCCACAATGCATGAAGGGCAAGCTTTGCCGTGTCAGCTTGCCAAACTTTTCCGGCATCTTGGAATACGCCCAAACCAACCATGCGCGTCTGCCCCGTGCTGCCAGGTCGTCCACATGAGTGGTGAGCGACGCAATGGGCCACGTCCCTTCTCGCTCTGAGGGCCAAAACCAGAAACACTCATCAAACAAAGACTGCAGGCCTCCAAGCTCCCGTAAAAACTGGTGAAGAAAAAGTTGCCACGCTAGCGGGGCTTCGGAGAGGCCGTACACTGGTTTAAGACATAGCAGCACGAACTCGTCGAGGGCGTCCTCGGAAATGTCGAATTCCTTGGACAGCTTCTTGAGGTGTCGCCAGACGTTGCGAGGTGGAACGATCGCCACCAGCCTTTCCACAGTGTGCAGCCCAAGCTTCCTGAGGCATTTCCACAAGGCTTCGTAGGTGAGGCCCTTCAGGAAGGCTCCTGCAATGTCCCAGCTTTCCACATCATCATCCTTGTTGTTGGCCGCTCCAACCAAGATGAGTCTCTGTGAGAGCCGCGTTGCGGTAGCCGAGCGGTTGTTGAGCTCATTTTTCCAAGGGTCGTGGCATCCACGCACACACATGCGGGATTTTACGATGCGCTTGGAGTCCGCCGTCTTCTTCCGTTTTCTGACCCAGATGCCATCTATGAGGGCGCAGTTCTCAGGAAGTTCACTACGCCGCACAGCTCGGAAAGCCTTCTCGTGAACGAACTGGCTGATCTCCTTGTGGTCCGCCTCGTCCACCTGTGGCCAGATTCCAGGCAGGTCCTCTTCCTCGATGGAGTCGGTAGTTGAGTCCACACGAAAGATGCTGCCTGTCTGAAGATCGGCGTGCCAACCCGGAGAGCTCATGGAAAAGAGGTGGCTCGACTTCTCCTCCGCGTAGAGACGGTCAGGCCTCAGGCAGCTGGACCATCCATTGACGCTTATGCATATTCCAGAACACCTCGGGCATGCAATCAGACAGTGGCGTCAGGTGGTTGATGCGCTGCTTCTTGCTCTCGGGACCCAAAGTGACAGTCCGTGTCTCAGGTCCTTCACGCTTGGTTCCTGTAGTGGCAGTTGCCGGTGAGTTTGGCGTAGGCGTGGGAGTCAAAGGTGACTCCTCCATGGGTGTTCCTTTTGGAAGCCAGGTCTCGAATGGAGGCTCCACGTAGTTCTCTGCATAGCTATAAAAGTAGATGTAGCACATCTCTTCACGGCTCCCCAAACGAAACCCATTGGTGTTCATATCGGTCCCGGACGGGTTGTCTACGATGGACATCCGAACCGTCTTCCGCCTCCAGGCCACCAATGTTCCGGTGGAACCTTCCGGCGTGAACATCTTCTTGAGACCCGTGCCAACACGAATGCCGTGGCATTGCTTCGCAGTGAGAAACTGTGAAGCAGTGACAATGTCCTGGAGGATGCCGGTGATCTGCTCCTCGGACATCTGCTTCGGTAGTCGTATCCATTTGCCACGTCGATTGCGAAGGTGGCCAAAGGTCTCGATTTTAAACGGGACGCATGCTTCCGTGCTCTGCATGAGTCGCCGGAGTGAGCTCTTGCCCCTTCACTCGTAGTGGTACTAGATATGGTCGCCCTTGATACTCCACGATTGCCGAGCCGTTCTCGTTGAGTTTCAATAGGAGCGCTGGTCCACGCCAACCAAAACCATCGGCATCTTCACGATGGAACTCCACTTCGGAGGTTCCTGCTTGTAGTTCATCAAGTGGTACGCGCTGTGGACGGGTGTGTCCTGCTCGCGTGGCTCCAGTGCACGGCCTTCCCCCCAATGCCTGAGTTGTGAGGCATGCGAGGTTGGCAGCCGGTGGGTCGAGGCGACCTGACGTTTCAGAAGCCTCAGCTTCAGGATGCTTCAGGGTTTCGGCAAGGTTCGACAGGCGAGTCGAGAGCAGAGAGGGATCGACGAGGCCCTGGCATTGCTGCAAAGCGCCGAGGGATCTGGCCTGGTGCCCACCGCCGCTCGGCGCCTGCTAGGATTGTTCACACTTCTTTTGGGTTGCCCTGCTGCGAAATCAGCCGTGAAGTGGCTCGCAAGCGCACAACTTCCGTCAAATCAGATCGCAGATTGCTATAGCAACCTCGAGAAGCCATCTGCGATTCGAGGGAAGTGATCAGACCGGAGCGCCTTCTGCACTTCCTGAGGTGGTGTCACTGACGGCCGCCATGCCTCTCGGAGCATCTCGAAGCTGCCACAATCCTGTTCTCCACGATGGACTGGGGGGCTGCCGTGATAGCCATTTGACGAAGTCGTAGAGCACGTTCGTAGACCGAAGGGTTCGCGTGCCCTGCCCCGGTGATGGCTTGGATGCCGGGAGCCTCAAAGTCGTAGAAAGGCATCGGAAGAGTGCCTATCACCATCATGTGCGGAGAGTAGCCGCCGATGTTGATCGTGGCGTTCTGGGCGAAACTGGCTTCGGCTGCGAGGTCGGCGAAGTTGATGTCGAGGCCTTGTCTTTCGGCCTCTGCCCGTAACTTCATCATACAGATCTTCCCAAGGTCTGTGTGCTTCTCCACCACACCAGTCGTAGTATGCTGACCTTGGCCGCCGCCTCGAGTTGTTCCCGCAGGCTCTCGCTGTATTGAAGGCCGTTCAAGCTCAGCTGCGGCCTCGTGGGACATGAGGCACGACTCCTGGTCGGAGACCAACTTCTTCATCGGTCCGAAGTATCTGAACCATCCTTGCAGAAGAGCTTGTAGTGCAGATTGAAGATCGCGCCCGGGAACTTTGATAATGGTCTTGTAGCGCGTCGCCACATCTATGACCATCATGAACCAGTTGTCCCACAGGCGAAACCAGTCCACTTGTACTTCCTCATTGAACCATGAGGGGTGATTGGCTCGAACCTTTGGACGGCTCTTGAGCTTGGAGAACCGTCGGCACACCGCGCAGGCTGCAATGGTCTCGGGAACGAGCTTCGTCACTTCAGTGGGCATGCCTGCCCTGGTGAGCATAGATTGCAAATCGCCTGCTCCGGAGTGCCAGAAACGTTCATGGAGACCCAATAACAACCGCTTGGCCTGTTGAGGATCATCTCGAGCAAGGCGAGGAAGGCGTACACGTACTCGTCGGAAATCGAAATTCGAGCGACGTGGCGGATCGATCGCCTGGCCATCTTCGCCTGCTTCCTCAGCTTGCTCGCCATCCGCAGGCTCGGCTCTATCCATCTCCTCTTCACGAACTTCAGCTTCACGAACAATTGGGTCAGCCTCTGGAGGCTCGTCATCCTCAGGGGCATGGATTTCGAACTCGGTGGTCCCTGTCCAACGTCCGTCCTCAATGGCTGCCCTGCTGCTGTCTCTCCCTGTCCATTCATCCTTGATCACAACCTTGGGGCCTGGCTTGTCGTAGGGAGTCGCCGTGGTCGTTCTGGTTGAGGTGAGCTCCTCGATGGATAGTGGGCCCTCGTCTTCTCTCGGAGTAAACAGTGCTTGTCGTGGTCGGATGTGGTGACGAGTGGCCTTACCTCTCATACGGTCGATCTCCCAGTAGTCCTTGTCCTTTGCGGTGGAACCGAAAACGGCAATGACCCAGTCCTCACAGAACACTTTCTCCTTGAGCTGGGCCTGAGTATACGTGCGGAGGTCCTCGGCTTTCTTCACAGTCCACCTCTTGACTTCGCCCCGAATGATCACTCTGAAGGGGGCAGACTCGGTGCGTCAGAAAGGCATAGGAAGAGGAAAGTATTCCGCATGTAAAGAGGTGCACACTCCTTTGACATCCAGCACTCGTCCGAAAACTTTGCGCAAAACACCCAAGTGCACCGGGTCCTGGCTCCAATGGTTGTGCTTGCCGGTGGTCTCAGAGATGACGTTGACACTGTCCTCGACAAGACAAAGCAACAGATGCTTGAACATCAGCGAGTCCACGGACGAGAGGGTAACACCTTCTGGCCACTGGACCTTCACGTCATCGAGGTTCTCACGACGAAGTGCTGCTTCTTTGAACTCTTCCAGCAGCTGAGGCAGTGGTGTGACAACCGCAGTACGAACGGCTGGGTCTCGCGATGATCCCGGCCGTCCACTCTGATCGCCATGGAAGCCCTCAACGTTGCTGTCGATGGCCTTGAGGTACTTCCGAACGTCCTTGACCAAGGCCTTGCAGAAGTTGTGTGAGTATACTCCAGCGGAGGCTCGGGAGACCGCACGGTTGGTTCCTGAGCCTGAGTGTCCATGTCCAAGGCGGTGTCCCTGGCAACGTCGCGTAGTGTTCCTCAGAGAGAGATTGCTCTGGAGACCCGTAGCCTTGAGGATGGGCATGTTTTGCTCATCCACAGCTCCAAAACAACACTGGTCTGTGCGTTGCCTCGTTCGACATCCAGGTATGTCGTGTGCCAGAGTAGACAAACACGTGCGTTTCCAGGAAGGGCTCGTCCACGGCGGTTCCACAATGAAAGCGCGTCCGCGTTGGGCTTGTCTCTCGGCAAGCAACTTCACGAACCCTGCAGCTGCTGACTCCTCGGCAATATATCGCTCCTTGTCCTCGGTGGACAAGCTGGCCGCACGCGTGGTCCACGTGCCAAAAGTTGGCGCCATAACTATGACCTTCGGGTCGAACATCTCCTGCGCCTCGAGGATCATCTCCTGATGAGCAGGGGTGCCGAGGTTCCATCCGTACCGAAGATCCACAGGGAAAGCCACGGATAGCCCGGCCAAGAGAGCCACGTAGGAAAGTCTGGCAGAACCTGAAAACAACTCCCAAAGCTGCATAGGAGCCCTGGCTCCCTTGGTGGACTTCCATCTCTGAAAGTTCTCAGGTGTCACTGGCTTCTTCCCTGATTTGCTGTAGTACTTCTCCTTGGCCGTCATGTAGTACCTGTCGAGTCTGCACCGTTGATCCTCAGTGACATCAGACGGGTAACTGTCGCCATGGTAGACAGTCGGCACCTGAAACGACGACTCATCACATGCTTGCTGTAGATGACGACTGGCTACGTCCAACATAAATGACCCAGGTGGTGACGTCTCAAACCTCACGGACTTCACGGACTTGGTACTTGGTGACCTAGACATAGACGAGGATCCACCAGGTGACTGCTGCGGTTTCGGATCTGATTCCTGACTGGGATCCGAGGGTGAGTGCTGCGGTTTCGGATCTGATTCCTGACTGGGATCCGAGGGTGACTGCTGCGGTTTCGGATCTGATTCCTGACTGGGATCCGAGGGTGACTGCTGTGGTTTCGGCTTTGATTCCTGAGAGGGATCCGATGGTGACTGGTGTGGTCGTTGGCTCTCGGCTTCTTGGTAGTGCATGATGTTAAGCTGCCGCACCTCTGCAAGCTGACTCCGCTTTGGCTCTGGCTTGTTGTCCGACCTGAAAAACCATGTTCCACTGACATCAGTCACAAAGCTTTGGATCGTCTGACAACATGGGTGAGGAACGTGTGCGCCTTGTCGTGCTCCTCCGTCGCAACGGTAACTCCATCAAGCGGCATCATACAATGCCTGCTATCGGTGTACAGCAGCAACCTGATCAGGTGATAGCGGTTGGCCTCATCGGTGCGGTCGTCGTTGGGCACGATGAGCAGGCCGTCCTTGTTCTCGAACCAATGAGATGCTATCACCGCATTCATCTTCACCAATGCCGGGTTGCCTACTAACGCCGGACAGCAGCTTGCCTCACCACCGACCACGTCCGCCACATAGGAGGCAGACTCCAATCCAGGAATCATCGGCAGTCCAATGCGGACTTCGCCCAAAGTGGTGTCTGCTGCTCCACTTATTGCAGTGACCTCGGACTTCTTCTCTCGCTCCATCTCATCGACTCCTTGACCTCCTTGGACTTGTCGACGTTATCTATCAAGTCTCTGAGCGTCTCGCTGCCGATCAAGCCATTTGCAGCACCAGGGTCAATGATAAGTCCCCGGCGTCGACGGCCCTGCACCGTGTGATAAATGTCGTAGTTCTCGGTCTCGTTGTGGCCGTAGTGCGTCTGGTGTCTCGGCATCCGAACCTCGGTTCCATTGACACTCTTCCTGAAGAAAAACTCCAGTGTTTTTGCCGGTCTGTCACCAGACTCGACCGCCTCGCCAGCATCAGAACTCGCGGCGGGCTCGTCGCGGGTGACCTTGGTGGCTGCTCGTTCCATGTTCATGAAGTCGCCGCCATGGTGAATCGTGGCGGGGGCGTTGTCGGCAGCGACGTTGAAGTACTGGGTGCCGCCGGGCTTGGTAGTGGCCGACTTCTCCGGGGAATCCAGATGAAGTCCTTCTCGTGCGTGGCGCATCTGGTCGTCGTAGCGGGAGTCGGCGTAGTACCGGGATTGCATGCAAGAGCGAGGGCCATCGGGTGAGGACCACGATCCTTTCCGACTGAACTTTCCTCCTTTGTTGCCACCATAGCCCTTGCCCTTGCCCTTGCTCTTGCCGCCGAACTTGCCCTTGGGTCGTTTGCCCTTGCCTTTGCCTTTGCTCTTTGCTTCGCCAGCACCTTTTCCTCGTACCGGGCAATCTGCTGCAAGATGCCAGCGGGAACCGCCAATAAAGCAACCGCTGCCGAAAGGGCCTGACCCTTTTCCTTTCCCAGGTCGGCCTCCAGCACTGTAGACGCCGTCGTGGTAGTCCTCGGAATAAATCTCATCACCTCCTTGGTGGCCAGGCTCTGCATCGGGGTCGCCTGTCCACGGAGGATACTCATCCTCGTACCAGCTCGAGCCCTGGTCCGGGTAGTAGTAGTCATAGTCCTCCTCGCCGTGCCAGTTTTCGGCTGCATATGCCTCATAATCCTCATCGACATAGAGCCATGAACCGTCGTCGCTCCAAACGGTTTCATTCCAGTCGGAGCCGGTGTCCCAGGAGTCGCGGTAGCGAGGTTCTTCATAGAAAGCGTCACTAGACCTGTCTGTCCGATGTGCCAGCCGAAGCGCCAGCGTCCTCAGGTCATTGAACCGGCTCAGGTCTCCATGGATCTGGAGACGAAGGTCGTCCTGGTGGCGCTGAGGTATATTCGCCTGCTTCAGCCACATATAGGACTTCGCGACGTCGTTCATGTCAAGTCCAGCCTTGGTCTTCGCATCCTCGAACTTCAGTTCCCATTCGGCCGAAAACTCCTGTAGGTCCTGCGAGGCTGGGCGGCGAAACTCGAAGAACGTCTCCAAGGACTTTGTGGTGGCCGTCTCGTCAGTCTCGCCAAAGGCCTGCTTGAGTGCATTGCAAAGGGCCTGAACACCTGACGGGATGTGGTGCTGTAGCACCGTTGTCCCGTCTGCCGGGTCCAGCACCTGGTCTACTGAAAGGCGGACCAGTGCTGCGTCTCCCGTGTCATAGGTTCCGTCCGGTCGGATAAGACGGAGTTCAAGCGCTATGCGCTGTGCCCGGCCAACCAGCCTTCCAGCAATGAGCGGGCCGACCACCTCGTCAGGTACCTCAGTGCAACGGTACCGCAACTTCAACTTGGAGAAGTAGAGCTTGAGAGGGTATCCTTCCAATCCTGGCTGCCAGCCAGGAGGAACGTCTTTTCTCCATTCTTCCAAGGGAATGCCGCCGCCGCCTCCGTGACTCGAGGGAGCTGCCATGGCCTTCTCGAAGCGGAGGTCTTCTTGGGCTTCTGGAGAAACGTGTAATCGTGCAGGTCCTGGATCGCTCTCGCGTCCTTCCGGAGAATCAGGCCGTAGGTCTCGGAAGGGCCGCGCCGCCGCTGCAGCGCCAAAGCTGCAAAGGATTTCCCACGGCAAGGGGAGGCTCTTATCCGGTGAACACAATGCCACAGCGTCAAAAGGGCCGCCAGCAAAACGCTCCGAAGAGAAAACGTGGATTTCGTAGTGCTCGTAGTGAACGTGGCCACAAAGGGCGTCACAGGCCAAGCCTGGACCTCCAGCCTCCAGCCGGAGTGCAGCGTAGCGCTGCTCGTAGCTATGGCGGGAGCCTACACCTGCTCCGCTACCAGAATCAAAAGATCCTGGTCAACTGTTTCTGCTCCAGCCGGCTGGCGAGGGTCAACGGATTCACGTCTGGGCTTCAAGACTGCATGCACAAATCGACTGCAGCGTCTGCATCCATCTCGCTCCGCCCAACTCTTCCGACAGCGCAACCCCGGCAGGGGCAAGCGACTGGGGCACCTGCTTTCCGCATCCCGATAAGCCCACGAGAGCACAAGTCCTCGGGCTCCGCGGCGCTGCAGGGACCAATCGAAAGTCTCCAACAGCTCTGTGCTGTTGGGTGCCTAGCTCGCCCGCAGCGAGCTGCAGCGAGAAGCCACACAAGACCTCCGCCTCCGAGTACCTCGCACCAGCGCGGCGCGGGGCGACAGAGGCAGGTAGAGGGACCCAAAGCGCCTGAAGTGAACATCTTCAAAGGAGAGCGGCAGCGGTGCCAGCGGTTTTGACAGAGATGGGGAGTCGGCAGCCTCTGAAGGGAAGAGAACGGAAGAGAACGGAGAAAGCAAGGGCTCAAAGAGTCCCGGCCCGGGGCCTCCTTCCTGCGCCCAGCCGCCACAACGCTCTCTAATCTCCGAGCTGACGCACGGGCCACGGCGACCTGCAGGCAGGACGAGAACGTCGCGACGCGGCGCGGAGGCGGCTGGGGCACCTCCGGCATGAGGCCTACAAGGCCATAAAGACCCAGGCCTCTTGTCGGGCCGCGATCGCGGTTGTTGCGCGGCCCGTTCTGATTGGCGGTCTCTGGCCGGGCCGCCGACCCAGGAAGGAGGCGTGGAAGAAGTAGGAGGTGAGCTCTCCCGCGGTAAGCTCGCCGCCTCATTACCCCCAAAACCCTAACCCTAAACCCTAAACCCTAAAGGGATCTCGAAGAAGAGCGGTTAACAAAAGCCCCCCCTTTTCAAGGCCCCCGGACGGGCGACCAGCTGCGACCCCAGGGAAGCCAGTCCGAGGAGCACGGATTTCGCCGCCCAGTCCAGCACCTAAGTGGTTTAACATAAGACATAGAGTATAATATATAAAAAACTATATATCATATATAATACAATATAATATAGTATTTAGGGTTTAGGGTTTAGGGTTTAGGCCAACTTTCCGCCAAAAGGCCGCCTCCCTGCCGTTCTCTACTTAGTTTCCCGAGATTTTTTGTGAGATCCTTCTTGTAGGGATTGTCGGATTCGATGTTCCGAGCCAGCGGCCAGGTGGGAGGCTCCACGGACCCTCGCCGACCGCGAGGCAATGGCCACGGAGGCATCGCAGAGCTTGCCAAACCTCAAACAGAGAGAGCTCGGAAGTAGACGCCATCGAATTTTGAGGTGGGCTTTTTGAAGAGAAACTTTGTTTCCCAAGTGCCCGGCTGCTGGGCTTCCTCCTCCGCCTCGGCCGGGACCCCAAAGCTGCGCTTTGCTCCGAAGCAATGAGAGGTCCCGGCACGGCAGAACCATCGGACGAGGTCCAAGTGCTGCAGCCGCTCCTCTGAACTCAACAAACTCCGGACCCCCGTCCCCTTCCCCTCGAAGACTCCGCTCGGAGCTCGGCTCCTCCGCGAAGGCCGAGGCCTCCTCCCGGGTCGCTGCCTCAGGACAAACTGTCTGAAAAAGACCCCTGAAAGCCCCAAAACTCTCTAGAGGAACCCTGAAAGCCCCGCAAAGAACCCTGGAAGCTCTACAAAAGCTCCTGCCAATAACAACAGTCACTATAACATATTTATAATAATAAGACTAATAAGAATAATCATAATAAGAAGAAGAGTAAACAAACCCAGCGCAAACCCAAAAAAAAAACAGAAACGCGCGCGGCTGCTGGCGCCTCCCCGAGGCCTGGGCCAAGGCTTCCGCGGACTTCGCAGAGCGCTTGGCACCGGCCTCGGTGCTTCCGCGAAAACGGATCCTCCCTCTACGTTTGCTTCTGTTATTTTTATTGTTTTTTTTTTTTTGGGGGGGGGGGGGGCTTTTAGGGTTTGGGGTTTAGGGTTTAGGGTTCTGGGTTTGGGTTTAGGGCTATTGGGGTTTATAGGGCTTAGCTGCACCCCAAATCCTTTCAAAATCTTGCCAGAGAGCAACATACCCCACAATCCAGAACCATACCATCATGCAAAGCGACCCTGAATCCTCAAAGCCGTTAAACCTGAATCTTCCAGCCCAACACCCGCACCCTCAATCCTAAACTAACATATACATACATATTCAAGTATACCCTAGATCAACCGCATGCAATTGGATTCCGAACTTCTGTGTTGCTAAAACAAGAGGGGCAAGAAGGTGGTTTTTGCTTGCATTCTGCAGGCACATGTTACGAAGCTGACCCCACACTGCTCTCAGAAATATCCCCACCCTGAACCATTCGTGCCAGGGTTCGCATTTAGAAGACATCCGGAGAAAACCTGGCTGTCGCTACGGGGCTCAAGACTAACCCCTAAACCCTAAGCCCTAGACGCTAAACCTTAAACCCTAAACCTTAATTTAAACCCTAAACCCTAAACC